TGTTATTATAATAGCACTAATAACAAAGTAGACCATAATTCTGCATGGCAACGCGATGACCCTGGGATAGGGTTTAGACATATGAAAGTTAAAGGAAAAAAATTAATACCAGTATAATTGTGTGGAATTTTACATTTATCTTTTAATAATATGTCAAGTTTTCCTTTGGAGGTTTTTATTTCTAATTTTCCGGTATTCTCATCAAGTTTAGTGAAATAAGTGATTATTCATACAGATCCCTGTAAGCACTCACGATGTTGTGAACCATCAAGAGATTGCTTTTTAATAGTATACACTCTAAAGGTTAAATGTTCAGAGATTTAACATTTATGTCTCAGAGATTTTCTTTGAGTCTCTGAACTGATTTAATGACTAGAATTTCGTTAAACTCCGAAGTATCCGTATTCTTCTGAAAGGAAACACAAACTTCAAGTGGGGTTCATATGGTTCTGGACGGAATAGATGCTTTCGCTTGACGGGCTTCTGTACCTAGTAGCAGTTGATTACTGACGCCTCTAGGTAAGAATCTAAGTATATTCAACAATAAAATAGAAAAAAATTGGCAAATTATGGCGAGATGCTATTCTTAGCCCTTAAGAATAAATCTGTTTGTAAGTTGCTAAGTTTTCATTCGTACGCCACTATGAAATCGTTTCTACACGTTATTCAAAGCAATTAAAACTAGCTGCGGCTTTAAACGTGAATTTAGAATGATAAGAAACGATTTCAATAACAAATTTCAAAGGTTTGCCTGGCTGCTTTTTAATTCCTTTGGTTCACACCAACTGAACAGTGAAACTTCTGGGTTTAGAAAAAGCATAATATTCCCCATAAGTCTTGTTATACCAGTCCTTTAATCACTGACCCATGAAGGGTTTAGTTATAAACTTTCGTACCGTCTTGAAGCTACTCTGTATTACTGAAAAATATGTTAGCGTGATGGATCATCAATCAATAATACAACCTCACCTTGAGTGGAATGAACCACTGTTGTTTCCCAACTACATGATCCTTGAAGCCAAGCTTATGATAACTAAGAAGATTTACGCTCATGATTTAACACCCTAGAGAAGGCCTGAAACGGTGAACGGGGGAACAATTAATCGGTATGGTATGACTCGGCAGTGCAAGTACGGTCACCTTATGGAACTTCTTCCTTTTCATATTAATTAAACTTTTCCATCCACAACTCGGACGTATTCTTCGAAAGTACTAAACAGCATATTGCTGACTGTCAAGATGGGCTAATGTGAATTCTATGTATGATCCTATTAATTTAGTGGTTAAATCATGACAAATTAATCATTTTCGGATTAAATCTATTATTGTGGTAGCAAACGCAAATGCACTTAATACCAAATTAGACATTGTACCAGGTTCACCGTTTGGAGAATTTGTCTTTAGCATTATGTCACAAGCATCCGCTTACTATTTGGCGTCACATTTAGTGGTGCGCTGTACATATAAACCCGTTTTACTCAATCATTAACTATTGTGTCTGAGATCCCATGTTTTCGTACAAATAAACACGTAGGATTAGATATCACCACACTAAATAGCTTTGTAAACGAAGGATTAAGTAGTGTCTTTACTGTTACATACCTTATTTGGATATGTTTACTTATGTTCATGTCTTTAGGCATATGTGTGTCCCACTAATGTTCGCTAGTGTCAATTGTTTTAAGTGTGTACGTCTGACCCTGTAGTTTATTTACTTATTTACCTAGGTTGACCCCTTTATTTTCTGCTCAGTGATTATCAAACTCATATGTAAGTATTCAGATGGCCAGTCGAGCTGCCGGATAATGTAAATCAGTTTTAAAAGCTGTTCTTGTCCCCAACACAGCTGAAGACAAAAATTTCGTTCATCTAGTAAGGCTTGAGTGAATTATCAGGGCACTTTATTGATGGTGGAAACATTCAACTAACTGATTAGCGTGAGAATGATATTCTTGTAACGTATTTCGCTAGAAACTAAATTTTTCGATAAGCTGTTGAATAGCTCATTCGTTATTGTAATAGAGATACAAAAGTGGTCACCCAATTACAAGTAAACCCCCTGATCACCATTTTGGCTGTGGTGTCGGTTATTGATATGGTTACTGGGAAACTTTTGAATCTATCCCAGTATGTAAGTCAATGATAAAAACCATTAGAGCACGGTAAACGACTTACGAAATCTAAGTTAACGCAAGAAGGCCGCGGATGTGGCTGTGACAAAACTCTGATGGATAAATTCATATGAGGGTTAGTCTTTGATTAGCGATACGCTGGACAAATTTTAGTCCATTTGTGTTCAATTCTCCGCTCATTTGCTCGTATATCTGATATTTTTCAGTCTGTTGGTAGTTTTTGCGCTAGCATAGTCAGAGTATGAGAATTATATGAAATGGCTTTTCAATCTAGATAATATATCTGTTGTTCAACTGCCCCTACATTTGATATGTCGTACATTATGGGTGAACAACGATGTAGTGTTAATATATATCAGGCTTATCGAACGGAATGTTTGTTGGCTTCCGATAAATTAGTTAGCTATTTATGGTCTGTGTCAAGTACGAATTTCTCGCCTTACAATGCATGTTAGAAATTCGTAGTGTTAAAGAAATGGTGAAAAATTTCCATGCAAACGCGAAGTCTGCTGTTTCTACGACGACCGGGGTTTTTGCCAAACGTTTCTAATAAAGTAACTGGGGACAACCCCTACTGCTTTGTCCTGAGAGTCCACCGGAATCGGGGTCAGGATGAGTTGCCTTAATGTCTTGGATTGGTTAATTCTTCAGCTCTTTATTAGCCTCAACAGGCTCAGAACTTACCTCAAAATGCTTCGATCTTCTCTCAAGGCGATTCTCAGCAGTTGCTTTTGTTGTACACAGCCCAGCAAAAACAGATCATGGACATCAGTTTGTCTTGGAAGTTTCTAAGCTGTGAAATATTGTTTAGTGACGTCCATCTCTTCATTGATTGGTGGATCTTGATCTCGTTTTATTGCGTGATTCGGAAAATTTCGAAGGTTTAACCCCAAAAACACGCTTAAATTGATGGACATTCATTCCATTTCACCTAATTCTTTTAGCACGACTTTCTCATGCTACTCGTATGGTTTAGAATCTATACTGGCTATCAATTGATCGTTGATATGTTTCCTAATGAGAAGCATATCTAGATGTGAATTATCCACAAAACTCCAAACATGATGTTATGGGTACGAACCTGAACAACCTAAAGACGTGATAATGGTTGTCTAGGGAATATCATCCTCAGTCATTAATGCATTGTAATATATCCAAAGTCAATTCTAGTGAATATGACAATACATTATGGGCTGTCATAAATTAGTGATACTGGGTGTCCATCTAATACTGTTTTTCGTTTGAGTGCTCTGTAATCCTATATAGTTGACAGTCAAATTCGTTTCACAGTTGAGACAATGTACAGAATTGATGTTTATTGACAATCAGTAATTCATTGCAAGTACTACAATGTAATGGCTGGTACTGTGTCAAGCCCACGTAGGTTGTTCTAGCCTCTGAACAGATCAAGTTATTCATTCTTCCCAAGCTACATTTTTACCTTGTCACTTATTCACTTATAAACCCTTGTATATGTGTAAGCTGCTTATTTAATTCACTATATGTCTGTAACTTATTTTCTACCTGGCTACAAATATTGAGTCACTCTTGGTTAAATAAAGTTGGCTCCCTCTCCTTCTCTATTGCGCATCATTTTGTTTCACTTCGCTCTTTCCTCACAGCTTTCTTCGCCTCGTTTCCCTGATTGCCTGTCCAAATTAATGAATGTACGAAATATACGTATTAAAACTTCTCGTATTAGACTTATTTATTTCCGTTATTAACTAACGCGATTTAAGTAGATGACTGTATACAGGGGTAACCGGGATGCATATTTAGATATCGGTTTTAACATGATTTATTTAAAGTCAGATACAGGGCCACTAAAACTAGAACTATGGTCCCTACAGTGAACATCCATAAAAAGTTTCTCTTCGACTTCAATCCAAGCATCGACGCTTTCTCCCCAAACACTGAGATCTTCATCTTACTGGAAGTTTAACTGAGAAATCCTGTCCTCTCGTTTAGATTTTATTCTGATGGATGGTACCAAGCGTTGCATATGCCTTCGTTAGAGTGTTGTCGGAATTTATGTGAAAAGTATTTGGTTGCTGTGATCTACCATATTTGATTGTACCTTATTATCTGTCATGGTTTGTATCCATTGCAAAAAGTCTTGAATCGTGTGCTAAGATGCCCAGCGATGCTGCTGAATATGGTGATAATCATGACCTAGGACTAAAGAGATGATATTGTCGAGTAATGGGTTACGATAACCTCTGTATTTTATGGTATAAAACTTCATATGGAGATGAATGTTAACTTGTACAAACCATTGTGCATTACAAATCATATTTTAAAATGGTTATTGCTACTCATGTTCATATTGATGAGGCCAGTATTCAGGGTGGATACGATGGATTGCATTCTAGAATATACATAATAAGCTATGATGAGGAAATATACGGTTTATTTACTTAAAGGCTTAGCAATAAAAATCTGTTCCTGACATATAGCTCTATGAATAATGAGGGAGAACAACAAGGCGACTCAGAATGATTTGGTGATCTACCGACCGTGAAGTGTGAAATAAAGAATTGTATTGCATGATCCTTAAATTAAAGCATCTATGGAGCTGTTGTGTTAAACAGAGTGATTTATTGGCCTGATACGAAGTCCAATGAATCACTACGCGTAACTTGAAACGATGAAAAAATACAAACTGCTATAGATTGGACAAAATAATAGTCACTAAACACCACAGTGCAAAACCACTCTACTTAAAAAATTTTTACCGTCAACTTTACCAGTCTTTTGATAATCATTATGTACAATTTATACATAATGAAGCCGTTTCGAATGAATATTCCGGAACATTAAAAAATCGATTCAGTTTATTTATGACCCTGTAATTTCAGATAATTTTAATACGATCTGATGCAATCTGGTGTATATTAATCAAATTGTTGGTCCTAGTGTTCAACGGAATTGTCCTTATACGTTACAGCGCTAGTTCTCGCTACATTTAGGCGCCAAGTCCCTAGCTTACCATGCCTCCGAAACTCGACCCTACTGCTGTTACTTATTGTAAGCTGGATAGTAATTTCTCATAGATTCTTAGGTTATTTAAGAGTTATTGGTGGTGAGGTGGGTGCAACATCATCTTTAGCACCGAAAATTGGTCCCCTTGGCTTGTCTCCTAAAAAAGTCGGTGACGATATTGCAAAAGCAACTCAAGAATGGAAAGGTCTTCGTATTTGTGTCAAGTTGACCATCCAGAACCGACAAGCGACCATCAGTGTTGTCCCTACGGCTTCTTCTCTTATAATCAAAGCCCTTAAGGAAGAGCCTCGTGATAGGAAGAAAGTGAAGAACATAAAACACAATGGGAACTTGACATTTGATGAGATAATAGAAATTGCACGAACGATGAGACCTAGAAGTATCGCCCGTGAGCTTTCTGGAACAGTAAAAGAGGTTCTGGGAACGGCACGATCGGTTGGCTGTACAGTTGATGGTGAGTCTCCCCAAGTCATAATCGAAAAAGTAAATGCTGGGGAAATATCGGTACCTGCAGCGTAGATGCAAATAAACTTTTGGTACGTGATGATTATTTTCTCTTTCTTGGGCTGGATTTAGTCGTGTCTGGTTCTGCTGTAGTGTATATACTGACATGGAGCATATCAGAGATATGGAATTCAGGTACTACGGGTTGGTTGCGTATATTTAAGTGGTATTGCGTAACTAGTTCTACTTTTGGTAGGGTTAGTACATATTTCAGTGGTCAGGTTTTCTCTAAGTTTTGGTATACTTGCGTTACAATTGGTTAGTCGCTTCCAGAAGTCATTGAGTCGTGTCGGGTTAGGAAATGTGACTTCCTTACAAAGTTTGGACGTGTGAGCGTTAGTCTGGGTCTCTATGTTTTCAGTGTAAACCCTACTGCCGAATCCCACCTACAGTTGTTGAATGAAATTATTCTAATGGAAAGGGTTCATTCACTGGATGCGAGACACTACGTTAATGTTCGGTCACAATTTGATTACAGATTGGCATTTTAGCGGCTCATTGTGGCTTTCGTTCTACTCTTCGGTTTAAATATTGTGATCTTATTAGCTTTTAAACGTCTTAATAACCTTATGATCAGTCAATATTGTACAGGTAGAGTTTGTTCTAGTAGCAGACTGGTTCTTCATGTCTTACAATGTATGCCCCAATAAAAATGCCGAATTATTTGTTATCACAGTTATATTGACGCAGCATTCGCGGTTTGCTCACGCATAGCGCTAATGCCAACTTGAGTTCATAGGGTTTTTCCATTTTTCAGACTGGTTAATGATATGATGTTCATATAAGGTCAATATGTTGGGTTGGTTTCATATTAAGATATTTTAAGTCTTCAAATATACTAACCTGATGGTCAAACATGACTTCACGTGTCATTTATAAACAAGACGAAAATGGTTGCTTTTTAAGTTTATTACATGATTCGGGATATAAACCACATTTTGATAATAAACTGGTTTAACGCAACCAAACTTTTGGGAGAGGTATAAGCATGGCATCCCTATTCAGCGAACTGTAAAGTACGTTGGAAGTGTCTAAATGCAGAATAAGAGGCAGTAAATTTGTCAATAATTTTCACTGGAATTAACAAATTGTCGGTCCTAGGAATTTGGTGCTACTTATTTCACTGATTAGTACTGTTAGTACATGAGTGAATATAGTCATTGCTACTGTCTTTGGTTGCTGCCCAAAGTAGAATGCATAAACCCACACTAGATAAATAAATTATTTGCGATATCTATGATAGCTTTGTGTACAATTATTGATTGTTTCATATTGGTCGTTGGTCGGATCTAACTGATTTCGTCCGTCAGTTTGATTTATTACGTTTATCTAATTATATTTCAATCAAAGACCAACTGTCAGATAGGATCATATAAATATCCGTCGTTTGACTAAAAGTTTTTCTTTTAAAATTTCCATAGTAAGTCCGCTATCGCTGTTGCTCACAAACAAGATATGATATTTATGCATCCATTTACTACAATCAGATACTCCGGGTTTACTCGTACTCAACAGTTTAATAACGCACGCCTGGATATTGTAATCATTTGTGCTGGATTTCTCTGAGTGTATGTGGATCCGAGTGCTGTTAGAGTTTGGACGGATGTCGTCACTTCAATTGTCTACACCATTTAACCGTACTTCTTAAGGGACCTGAAACAGAAACTACTTTAGAAGTGTCGATTACCTTGAACATGACGGCAGCATCTGTGGATTAATTTTGCGAGAACTATTTCGCAATCATTCTGGTAGGCAGTTTTAAATGTGTCAGGGTCGTAGGCTTCAGGCTGTGTAAGTCTTTTAAGACAAGGTGAGATGTTCTGTTTTTTTAGGGTCGGACTTTTCTATCCCATCCCTTCCTCTGTAAGAAGGCAGTATGGTTTCCGATATTGGTCGTGGCAAACTTACTTCCACCACGTTCGTGTACGGTCAACAGTAAGACTTCGCCTTCGTACCTGTTTTTGATCTTGCCGTTCTCTAATCGATCCACCTAGTATGTTAAGTTCTATGGAAACGAGTATTTTTGCGAAATCGGTTATATTATTACAATGGACAAACCTAACAATGTCTTTATAGTAACGGGTGCTGGCGAATTATTTCCCTTTTACGGGTATTAACTTGTCAGTGTTGTTCACTAACGTTTATGCAATGATCCATTTTTATAAATTAGTTTTTGGAGAGCTTTGGTTAAAAACTTGTTAAGTGGTGTGATTTTCGAGGAGTGTGATAATTGTTTTGCGTTTGTAGATTTCATATCCTTTGTTGACTATGAGGAAGTAGTTATGGAAGCTAATAGCTGTATGAAATAATTCTACTAGGAACTTGCACTTTAGATGGAACCTAGCAAATATAATGGATACTTCTATTCACAGTCAACATGAATTATTCTACAATCTGTATTATAGTTGTCTTATTTGTTCAATTATAACATGTGACAGAACAACTATTTCATACGTCGTGAGCTGTTAAATCGGTGTCCAAACAAAAAGCTTGCGTTATTGACTCAGTTAATTACAGATTTCAATGTGTAATGATTTCCATATGTGTGTTCAGGAAAGACTAGTAGCCTTGGTGAAAAGACAAGTAGTGAGGTTCAATCTACTTGGAAGGTGTACATCACTTGAAAGATATAACTCAATAATGTTGGGAATCAATTTTAATCCACTAGCCCACTCGTAGTTATTGTGCATGTGATAAGTTAGGTAGTAATTTAAGTCTTGGCATTGTTTACGTGACTAACGACGGTATTAAACCAGGACGTTCGGTTATACTTGCTGGTACGGCCGAGAGTGGGGAGAGTCCGCTCTCCCTCTCGAAATGCTCTCACATGGCCATGCGTATATAGCCCCTGCCAGGGAAGTCCTACTCACTGCCTTCTCGTGGCGGGGGTGTTGTTTACGGAAATGAGAGGACGAAAAGCGAATGTCCGGCGCTTTAACCGGACTCCAAACCAATGGTGCACATGGGCTCCAGTATCCTGAGGGAACAAATGGTGTATGAACCAATCGTTGGTCACCGGCTACCATGGGACTGCATCTCCTCACGATGCTCCACTGCCTTGTGGGTCAGACGTTTAGGTCGAAGGCTCGGGGTGAGGCCCCCTAAGAAAACCACCTGCTTCGGTTTGGGCACCACGGCAGTATCACAGCCCTCACACAAATCAATTGAGATTCGTGTGGCGCATATGTATTTGGTGCCTCCCTGTACCTATACCTATGTGTTAAAATAATAAAAATGATCTGAAGTGCTTGTGGAGCAAACTGGTGTACATCAAAATGTCACCGGGTTTTCCTCTTTTCGTTGTACATTTTGTGACAGTCGGTCACAATACTATCAAAGACTTCTCTTACATGCGAAAACATGTCTATTCAAGTCAACGTAATAATTTTCGAAGTTTTACGTTGTTTCATTTCATGCACTATCGGTTTAGCCGATGTCATCTTATTTGATTAAACCTGTCAAGGTCATTTTGGGTATACGGTATGGCAGAGTCAGGAAATACTAATAAACACTTTTTTAACGAAATGACCGAAAGACAAAGGATGATAAACGTTATGAGAAAGGACGTGTTTGGTCGTATAAAGAGGTGGGGCAACATGAGACTTCTAAACTGGCTGACTAAAGCAAGAGAAGGGTTCCAGGGCAGTTCATTGGGTCATCTGGTAGTGATGCCCGAAGGAATGCCTTCAGCTGGTTAGTGTCCTGACTTAAATATATTAACCTGTTAGAGCATAATTGTTTTGTAGACATAGATCTAACATGTTTTTCCAGAGTATTGAGTATAGTTGATCATTAAGTCCTCTTAGTTTCACAAATGTAAACACAATAATTGTTTCTATTTCTTTCCCTTCAAAAATAACTTAATTATCGTTCACATATTCAATGTTTTATTACCTATATATATATATATATATATATATATATATATATATATATATATATATATAGTGCCCCTTTGTACCAACATTTATGTGTTCAAATAATAATAAATATTCCGTATTATTATTAAAAATCTAAAATTAAATAAGTGCAATAAATAGTAAAATTTTTATATCACTTACTAATTTGAAGAAAAGTTTGTTGTTGTTAAGTGTGAAAATATTTTGCTTCATATTCTTTTTCGTACTTTTCTAAACGTAAATACCAAATTTGAGTATGCCAAACTGTTGATTATGCCGTGATTCAGTTTAAAATCGATGTTTAAAGTTTCAACCTTCACTACTAAATCATACTAGAGTCCATCAGTGCTTCCGTATTTTTGTTCTTGTTTCCTTTTAAATGAAGACATTGGTATTATTGTTATTATTACTATTCGAATAAGCGAATTTTACTAATTATAATTTTCGTCTTTGAAAAAATTGTGATTTGGCTTAAACATTTAGAGCAAAACTAAAGATGAATTTTATAAAATTCTGTATATCGGAGTTGTTGAGATATCTATGGTAGATGGAGATCACAAAAGCATCCTCATCCTGAGCTACAAATATTCTTTATCACTTAATCTCATACTTTTTTATCTTTTCATGTGCTAACTTATATCATTAATTGTAGTTATGTCTTTAGCGCCTGGAAATATTCTCTGAAGTTATTTCAACGGGGAAATTTTTGTTAGATATCTATGTGTATAATATATAATATAATAAATACATTATGACGTGAACATTTAGCTGTTGCTGCGCAATATATTCTAATAATCCCTTTAAGCCTTGAGGATTAAATCGTCAAAATCATGTCTTCATGGAAATGTAATGGAAACACCCTTTAAGACAGAATGTACGACAGGAATCAGTTAGGAGTGTTGTAGCTGATAGATCTTTTTAAAAACCTTTTTCTACGGTGTGGTGCGATGGCTAAGCAGTTCCGATTCATTTTTAAACCATTTAATTACAAATTCAAAACACGCAATGCCTTTTTACATCGTTGAGCGGTATTAGCGGTCGTTACAAAAGTATTACCTGAGATCAAATATAGTGACGCACTAATTGCATACGTCACATATCAAAGTTTTGTGATTTCGGTAAGGTTGACTGTGGTTTAGTAAGG